AATATGTCTTGCAGATGTAAATGCAGACGTCAAATAGACGTCTCCGTGATGTACGTGTGCTATCAGGGTATTTTCAAATGATGCCGCAGACTTGTGCGCTCATATACAGAAATAGGCACCATATTGTGTCTCAGTTATCACCTGCAGAGAAAACAAATATGGGAGAAACTGACCTTTTCGAATTTTTCGAGTCAGTTGAAGCAACTGCTTAATAAAATTTATTCACTTCGCACTTGAAAGTTGAAACACTACAGTGGTGATACCTGCTGGTCAAAACTGTTTAAATACAATGAGAACACGCAAACCAAACACGTATAATGCCTTACACAAGCCAAATGTTTTAGTGTATTCTATCATTAAATATAATCTACAAATACAAGAAATCGAAGGTAGGGGAGAGTGGGGATGGTTGCAACACGTTTTTGCATTTCTTTCAAGTTCTCAGAGACTGATTGTATTGAAAAGCCACAATATAAGCCACATCTGTCAGCTACCCAACCTGCTGTAACGTGTACATATGATAATATACTTACAAGTTATACTTGAATACACAAGTTCAAATGTTGCAACTAACCCCATAATAGGGGATGGTTGCAACTGTCAGTCGTGATAAAAAGTTGCTCTACTAGCTTGACACAATACCTTTGACATACTATAGAAATAACGGTACAAAAGCTGTCGCTGGGTCCCTGCGGCACCTTTTCAAAAGGTACATGTTTTGGTACCTTAAAGGTACATATTAGTATTTAAAGTGTACATATTAGAACCTAATAGGAACAAAAGTGTACCTTTTGAAAAGGTACCGCCCTAGTGTGTACCTTTGTACCTTTATTTCTGAGAGTGTAGCTATGCCTGTTTTTAGTGTTTGCTCATCTGCAATACGTCTACAGGACGTTTCCTATCAGATGTCAAATAGTCATTTAGAAATGTACTGTTAAAACATTTACTGTAATAAAATATTAGCAATTGAAAAACTCTAATTGCACTACAAAGACTTCTGCACTATATTCCATCTTTCAAAAGGATAACAGATAGATATCCAAAAATTCAATTTCATGTAAAAGAAAATAATCATGTTACACTGCTGCTCTCGTGTGGTGAGTGAGTGTAATATACTGTAAATGATGACGTCTAATAACAAACACTTGTCCTTCTTTTGTTTAATAGATAGATACAATCACTGGGACAGTGTCCTTTCAAAAGGGACACATTTATACCATATTTACCCCTAAAGGGTGCATTTTAGTAGCTTTTTAGCAGTATTTGTACTAAAAGTGTTGATATTCATACCTAAATGGTACATATTAGTACCTTTTGAAAGGATACAGCCCGAGTGACAGCTTTTCTTTTTTTCTTAGAGGATAGATAGATAGATAGTGAATATAATTTGGATCAATATTTCATGTGTCATGTCCAGTGTTGGGGGTAATCGTAAATATTTTTTAAATAATTTTTACAGAAAAAAGAATGTAACAATGCTATATTAGAAACCTATTTTTACCTTACAATACCTTTGCAATTAAATTTTCTTAGCAGATAAAACTTAACTTTTGATGAAAAAACAAAAACAAAACACGTACAATATATGATGGGGAAAATGTATAATAAATATTGTTAAAATAATTGTAAAATGAAATACATATATTTTTGAAAACACATAATAATATTTTTAAATTTTAAATTAAAAAAATTGTGGCTTGTATAATAATACGTATTATTTTCCTAACACAGACAAAACCATACTTTTTGTAAATTGAACAGAAAATGAATATAACATTCTTTAGTAAAAACATGCTAGTGAAATTGTTACATTTTTAAATACTCTATAAGAATTGCAATTGTCCATCTAAATATCTAAAATTTTAAATATTTTAAGAAGTTAAAAAGTACACTGAAAAATTTCACTCAGAAAGTGCTAGTAAATTTCACAAATAATTACAAAGAAATGGCAAGTAAATTTTGAAGAAAAGACCTCGTCAGATATTTTGATCTGTTCTCTGTGTGTTTTAGTTGGGCAAGATCGCCTACTATGAAATGCTGCCTGAGTACAGCGTTGATATCGACGTGGACATCGACTGGCCTGTCGCTGAGCAGAGAGTTCTGAGGTGAGCTGTTTAGACAAACTCTGTGGCCAGACAAAAAGCATAAATGAAGATAGAAACGATACCCTTTTCTGCAGGTTTGGCTACTTTGGCCGAGAGGAGAACGTGGCGGTCAGGCTGTTTCTGTGTAAAGTGTCTGGCTGTTTGACGAACGGACAGATATTCACATCGGTTTCAGGCGAGGACCATGTGGCCATCAATGCTCGAGACGTGGCAGGCATACAGATGCTGCAGAGAGAAAATATAGAGGTACAGTTGTGTGGGCTGGTACAGTTAATATGCTATAATTGCTACACTGTAAAAAAAAAAGTCATTTTAAAGCTGGCATGAAAGTTGCGATAGTCTTTTGTGATGAGTGAAACGAAAAAATGTAGAGCGGGAGAAGGAGGGTTTATTCTATTTTGATTAAATATGGTTATTTAAGTTATTTTGATTAAAGATTATGAATGCACATGAATTTTAAACAATAATGATGTGGACGGATAAATCATTTATAATAAACACTGCAATGTTAAATATTGCACTTCACATAAAAAAAAAAGGATTGTCAATTTTGGTTTCATAGTGGTGTTAACAGTAAAATAGTATGAAAACTGTAAAAACTGGTTAATTAACGGCATGTCCCTTTACTGTAAATAGTGAAAATGTTGAGTAAAATTTTCAGTAATTTTATCATAAAATACTGTCAAATGTCCAGACTTTGGAAGTAAAACTGTAAAAATCTTATAATTTACAGTAAAACTAGTGAAAACTGCATGACACTTTACATTTGTTTGTATTTTGTTTAAAACAATTATGTTTCTTGTTAGTTTTTGTGATCAGTTATGTGCATTTGGGATTTATCTTCTTACATCTTATTTTGTTTAATTAATGTTTACTGCATTATTTTAGTGTCACCTATTATTATGATGGAGTTTTGTATTTATGTGCATGACACTGTGCACCTTCTGTATATTAGGTTATGTCTTTAGTATATGTTTTAGAATATTTTGATTGTAGAAAAGCTACTTGTTATGAACTTGTGATTCTTTTACCACCTGTATTATTATGGTGGTTATTAGTATATTTTAAAGGGATTGTACCATTACAAAATAAATACAAATATATTATGCACACACACACACACAAACTTGTAATTATGTAGTTATTGTTTTTTTTTTAATGTTTTTTTTTTTCAATTCAGTAACTCATATTTGGTGAATAGAGCATTCAGAGGATACATGTGCAAAATACACAGCTTGGGGTCAAGAGGTGTCTCTTTACTAATAATTTGACTTATTATCTCCTTTATTATTGCTCAGAAACAATCGACTCTGTTCCATAGTATGTGGGAATGTACAAAAGTACCCTTCTCTTCTTTACATTTTTTACATACATCAGGAGTACTGGGATTACATTTTTGTCATTTGACTGGAGTAATGTATTGTCTGTTTAAATGACATGCAATATTAAGAGTATAAGTCTTAAGAAAGTTTTGATTTGATGTTTGCTGACTGTTGTTCTTGTGTGTGTTTAGGTGATCCTCATGTCCAGCGTGAATGAGCCGCTGTCCAGGGGTCTGCTGGAGAAGGTCGCCCAGCTCGCTGGCTGTGGCCTTTGGTTTGGAGAGCAGCTGAATGGGCTCGAGGTGGAGCGGCTGATGAAAGAGAAGAAGCTGCGGTGGGATAAAGTGGCCTTCATGGGTGAGAATTACCAGCTAAACCCAGTTTAAGCTTGATATGTCTACTGCATTTCAGCCCATTTCAGGTTTCAGATTTTCACCTTCTCCAAAACATCTTGTACCCTTTCATCTGGTATACCACTTATGACATTAACAATTATTTGTTATTTTTTCCCCAGGATTAAGCATTAATTCAAAATCCAAATAAATGAATAAAACAAAATAATAAAATAAATAGTGAATAATATAAATACAACTAAAAAAAGACTGGATGGTCCCTTTTAAAAAAAAACAAACATTGAAAACACCAGAATGGTGGGAATTTGCTAGTAAATTTCACAATTAATTACAAAGAAAGTATTGAATTAAACATGAAATTGTGAAGTAGAAAGACTGAAATAGTATTTTCTTGCTAAACATATTCCAGTAATCTTTGTTTTATTTTTTACAGTCTATGTCTGCGTTTAAATGTTTGTTTTTTTGTTTGTGTTATAATATTTCAATGATTTTGTGAAAGATTTCCATTAGGATTATTTTTATGCTATAATTTATTGATTTTAGTCTGAACATAGCTCAATATTATGTCAACAGCTTAGAAAAAATTAACAATCACTGATTTTACAACCGTTTATTCATTTGTGAAACAAATTCCATTAAAGAAAAAAGTCAAATGTTAAGATGTTAATGAAATACAGTTTCAGGTTTTTTGACAATAAAAAAACGAAACAATCACATGGGTAACTTATTTCCATTGTGCTCACCGATTTTACGACAGCAATTATGGAAACAGATGACAGAATATGACAATTACATACTTCATTCAAATATATCAAAATAGAACAAAACAATATTTAATTTAAAAAACAATCACTAAAAATGCACTAAATCAGCCATTTTAGGTACTGTACACCTGACATAATTTATGATCATTTATAAATATTTGTTTTGTATTTCTGACCTCCTGAATATTCAAAAAACCTCTTTACATACATAATAGTTTTTTTAAAAATCCATTTTACTCTGCCTTGTATTAAAAGTATGCTTTTCACCAGTTAATTACAAAAATAAATTAAAACTGTTTTAATAATTAATTAACACTGTCAGGTAAAGCGTCATTCTAGAGCATTGTTTCACACTGGAAAGTCCAAACGAATGTTGTAAACAAACCTGAAACCACTAGCGAGCCTGTAAAATAATCAGAATTTGTCGTGAGCAGCGTGTGATATTTTCCCTCACAGGTTCCGAGTCTGAAGACAGAGAGATCTTGTCTCAGGTGGGGCTGAACGGCGTCCCGTGTGACTCAGTCGTGGCGGATCTCATCGCGGCGAAATACATGTGTCAGAGACCCGCCGGAAACGGAGCAGTTCGTGAGTTTGCTGAGTACATACTGATGCTGAAGAAAAAGAGCTTGTTGCAGGTGCACCAGGAGCACATTGACAGGGACAATTTCTAGATTCCAGTTCCTATTTCATATTTCTTTTAAACAGTCAGTTTGGGTTGCTGTGATCACATGACATTGAATCTAACTTAAGTTAATAAATCACCTGTGTGTGTCTGTGAGCAAAAGCTTCATGTTGCTGCTTTATCTCATTACTTGATCTTCATACAGTTGCATGTTCTTTCAAATGCAGTATTCAATACTTATCACCAATCATTGTGTATTAATGTTTAATCTCCACATTGACAGGGCCAATTTCTAGATTCCAGTTCCTATTTCATATTTCGTCAGTTTGGGTTGCTGTGATCACATGACATTGAATCTAACTTAAGTTAATAAATCACCTGTGTGTGTCTGTGAGCAAAAGCTTCATGTTGCTGCTTTATCTCATTACTTGATCTTCATACAGTTGCATGTTCTTTCAAATGCAGTATTCAATACTTATCACCAATCATTGTGTATTAATGTTTAATCTCATGCTTTGTCCTCACAAGTCACTGAGTGATAAGGAAACATCCTCATTTCTTATCAAGGACAGCATTGTGCCGCAGTAGTTTTCCATTGCTTTTACTATATAACAGGGGTGTCCACACCTGGTCCTGGAGGGCCGGTGTTCTGCAGAGTTTAGCCAGAGATTGTCTTACTATTGGGAGATGAGAGGGTCTGTATTACTTACTATTGGAGAAAGCTTAATGGTCAACTGGGATAACGTGTGCATTAATAACCAATCACATTACAGCGTTGACGTCATTGAATTTCAGTCAGAGTTGTGCGACACTCAATCGCTGTTTACGGATACCATAGATATGAATGAGAAGTGCCGTAAGCTGTAACCCACCTGTCGCAAAAAGTCAGTGACTTCTCTTATAAAACGGCATTTTTTTGGTGTAAACTCTAAAAATAGTTCAATCCAAAAGTATTGCTTAGTGTAAAACATGTTGGAGATTAGCTCATAGGCTGTCGATTCATTAAATGATAAGCTGTTTCCTCTAAAAAAAAGCTGTTTATTCAGCGTAGTGAAGCCTCTCCTCCATTGACATCCATTAAAAAAAAACGGCCTCTGGCAAAACGGAAGCGTTAGTATTAGCCGTTACGTTTTTTTGGCTAAAGGTTGCAGGCTTGCCTTTTAATGGCTTTGGTTTAGCTCCAACTTGGCTCAACACACCTGCCTGGAAGTGTATATGCCTAGTAAAACCTTGATTAGCTGGTTCAGGTGTGTTTAATTGGGGTTGGAGCGAAAATCTGCAGGACACCGGCCAAAATCACATTTGTTTTTCTAAAGAAACATTGTCCAACAATGACACCAGCAGGTAAAGTCCTTGTCTCTCTCGCCTCCGTTGAGCCCATTGAGTTTTAACACACCCACTAAAGCAGGGGTGTCAAACTCAGTTCCTGGAGGGCCGGAGCCCTTCAGAATTTAGTTCCAACACACATGTAGTTTTCAAATAAGCCTGAAGGACTTGATTAGTTGGATAAGGTGCGTTTAATTAGGTTTGAATCTAAACTCTGCAGGGCTCCGGCCCTCTAGGAACTGACTTTGACACCCCTGCTCTAAAGCCCGGGATACACTGCACGATTTTTGGCTGTCCCAGACGAAAGATTGCCATCGTGAAGCAATCGTGGCGATTTCTGTGATCGTGGCTCTTAATCGGTGGTCCTATGTCGTACAGTGAGAGAGGTTCAAAGACGGGCGTTTTCCCGGTCTTGCGACCAAAGATAGCCTACGATAGTTTTCTGACAGTGTCAGAAATTCAGCATGATCAACGCACAGTGTATTTGCTGCAATGACCTGCGTCTACTCAGCAGCCAATGAAATTGCAACATGAAATGACATATTGATCCACGCGACCAGTACCGGTTTGTTTACCACTAGCGCATGCTGATGACATTGCGCTAATGTGTGTCGCAGCCTATGATTCAATAGGTGTCATCATCGTACAGTCTACATGCTTGCCGTACCCAAGTTTAAACGATCCATGTTGCACAGTGTGATAAAGTAATGATCTTATAGGATTGCTAAAATCGTGCAGTGTATCCCGGGCTTTAGACGCGTCTCGTAATAACTATTGGATATGACTGGTTATGTTCGGCTGTGATTGGTTCATGTGATAAATCCCACCTCTTGTGTTATATTTAACCAAGAAAATGTGACTGGGACATGAATTTACATGAATTGTGAAATTGATAGTTTCAGCAATGATGCATTGATCATTTCGCCTATAATGTAAAAAAAATATTTCTATTACAAATAAATGGTGTTCTTCAAACTGTTCTTCTGATCTTCCTATAACTGTGGTAATCAAAAATGTTATATTTATTTTATTTTCAGAAAATCATTGCTTCAGAGATATTAAAGACACCTTATGGGTTTAAATGCACTTTTTTTGTAATTCTGGAATGGTGACAGCAATAGTTCTTGAAGGGATAGTTCACCCAAAAATGAAAATTCTGTCATTGTATACGTTACTCTCGATAATGGCAGTAGATGGTAACTCGGGGGAGAAGAATTGTTGAATAAAGTTGTTATTTATTTTTTTCTTATATTTATTATTTAGTGTTCCTGTGGCTCAGTGGTAGAGCATTGCGTTAGTCAAGTCAAGTCAAGTCACCTTTATTTATATAGCGCTTTTAACAATACAGATTGTGTCAAAGCAACTGAACAGCATTAATTAGGAAAATAGTGTGTCTTATTATTATTATAAAAAGTACATATCTCATATTTGTTAATTATTGTGTTTATTGTTTATTGAGATATCTTGTGAGTTGTCAGATGTTGATTTAGTAACTGCTTTTGTTAGAATTTGCTCATTAATTTGACTGTATATTTGCTCAAAAACAATGCAATAATTTGATTGTATTACTGAAATTTTTACATACAGTATCTCACAGAAGTGAGTACACCCCTCACATTTTTGTAAATATTTTATTATATCTTTTCATGTGACAACACTGAAGAAATGACACTGTGCTACAATGTAAAGTAGTGAGTGTACAGCTTGTATAACAGTGTAAATTTGCTGTCCCCTCAAAATCAAAAATGTGAGGGGTGTACTCACTTCTGTGAGATACTGTATATTACATAGTTGTTGTCATGATATCAAAAGACCACAGTAGAGGTTTCATTGTGTTGTCCTTGGCTAAAGAGTCGTAACTGGTTAGCTTTTTATCAGCTTCGAAATCTGTGGATGAAGAAACCGTAACAAAGATACATTGACAAACCATGTGTTGGCAATTGTCAGGCCCTGTAGAGCACAATCATCATATTGTCCTAAATGAAAGTGAAAGCTCTCATTTTCTGGAAGGGATCAAATTTGACATCAAGACAGTGCTGATAGAGATAATCAGTTGAGCGCAGTCAAATCGCAAGAAAACCAGACTTGCTGTTAAACATATGCAAGCAAACACCTTTCAGGTTCGCGACTAGTCTCAGATATTTCCCTGTAGAAAATATCAAAGAGTTATGCATACAATATGTATGATCTTGAGCAAATGAAGTGAAAATTCAGCTGATGTCACTGAAGCATTTTGAGAAAACCAGGGGCTGTGTTAAAGAAATTCAAGTTTATTTGTACAGCGCTTTTCACGATACAAATCATTGCAAAGCAACTTTACAGCAAATTAAGTTTCTACAATATTTAGTGGTAGCTTATCAGTGGTGACTGTCAGTCAATGTACATATGGCAGAAATGTACGGAAAAATCAATTAAAGATGTAATCAAACAGACGATGAACACTATTAACAGCAATTATTATATGATGCAATCAAACTAATAGCAAAATGTGGTAGTTCCATTCACACCAAGACTGAAAACTATAACTATAATGATAATATTATGTTTATTCTAAGAGCATATATTAGTTATTTTCTGTGAACGTAACTGCAGCTTGAACCCTCCTGTTGGTTGGTTTTCCGTTTTTGTGCAGCCTATCCAAAATACATCTATGTGTCAGAACTTTGCATGCAAATTCATGACCCTAAATGGGAAACAAGTCACACAATTTCAAGAAGAAATAAATAACATTCAAATTTGAATATACAGTTGGAGGGTTAAGGTTGGATCAAAATGTTTTAAAACTTCATGTTTATAGTTATCATTATAGTTCTTGGTGTGAGAACAGGTCTTAGTGGATATGTTGTTTATCAGCTTCCTATAACTTCCTATTCCTATCTGTCACGAATTCGGCCCGTGGCCTTCCGGCCGATTGCCACTAGAGGTCATTCTACCATTACATTGACTCTCACACCACTATCTTAGATATGTGGACTATTGAGACCAAATCCTATTGCACATGATCGAACCGTCACAATGAGTTATCTAATTGTTCCTTATCAAACACACCTGTTTTATCTCCTTTGGAGAGACATCCAATATGTGTACTGTTGGTGTGCCACCAAGAACACAGTTGGCAAACATTGGTTTAAAGAGTATATTGCTGTCAACCTTGTGAACCATTTTATGTCTTGGAAAATACAATAGAGAGCTTTTATGTTGTTACAGTGCAAATGTAGATATCCATTTTGTGATTGGCACACACTTTACATTGTTCCATCTTAAAATCTTATCTAAATTACGACGTTTATTCATGCGTTCATGATCTCAAGGTTAGATTATTGTAATGCTTTGTTGGGTGGTTGCTCTGCACGCTTAATAAACAAACTCCAGCTGGTCCATTTGAATATACCTAACATATCAAAATCAAAATCGGTGGATCCTTTTCCTATTTAGCACCCAAACTCTGGAACAATCGACCTAGCGTTGTTCGGGAGGCAGACACACTCTGTCAGTTTAAATCTAGATTAAAGACCCATCTCTTTGATCTGGCATACACATAACACATTATCGCATTTCTATAATTCAAATCCGTTTGAATTGTTAAAAGGATTGTTAGAACACTTTCCATTACACCCGATGTACTCGTTACATCATAAGAAGAATGGCATCTATGCTAATATTAGTCTGTTTCATTCTTATTCCGAGGTCACCATAGCCATACGGATCCAGTCCGTTTCCAGACTAAATTGTGGATCTGCACCTAGAGATGACCTCTACAGCCCTGAATGTCAGCGGAGACCATGTCAACTAGATGAGCCCCAGAGA